TTCACAACCACGCCTGAAATCTCGATTATCACTTTATCATGCGAGAGTATAAAATGTTCGGTGACACCCGAACTTAGCCCTTCCTTACTTGTTTTTATTTATTGGACCGAATGGGCATGATGGTGTAAGATTGCCGTTAATAAAGTGGTGGTGAACGATTTGCGTGTGTTCGATCCTTAAAGGTTTAAAAACTGTTGCTTGCTGCCGCGAGATGTTGTTGGGCAGCACATTTTTCACGTATTTGGTTGAAGGTTGAGTATTTGTGTTCAGATTTTTTACAGTCTGCAACTTTCATTTCAAGAATTGTGTCGGCCTAAAATGTTTTGAAATTATTTGGTCTTGAACTTCGTTAAGGAACATGAAGCAGATTCTGACCTGGAAGCCAGAGAAGAGCTATTTTTGTGTATGGCGTTCAAGCAAGACAAGCTGTCTGACCAAATAACGAATTTGTTTTTTAGGATAGCGTGTTTTAACGCCATTTGTATTCCAATTGTCTCGGCGGTAAATACGAGCGATTATTGTGGAAGAATTGCGCCTGTAATCGTGTTCCCGTAAGCTGCAGTCCTGCGTAGGCTGTGTTTGTTAATTTGGACCTATTTGTATAAATTGTTTTAAACTTTTTTTTCTGAGAATCATTTCATAAATCTATGAAGTTTTGCTGAAAAATTGTGTTACTGGTGGTAGATTTTTTAAACTAGTGTTCACTGCTGCTCTTAGGTTAGACGCACCAACGTTTTTTTTTATTAATTGTTATATTTAAAATCATGCTTGTTCTTATTGTCCAAAATGCTTTTCTTGTCAAAGTTCGAATCTTGTCCGAAAAATATTAGCTCATAGTTGGTTGATTTGTGAAAAAATAACTTTACATTCGAAGATTACAGAAATGTCTATGGCAATCTCGTGCGCTTGCGGTTGGTCATTGAAATAGACTCATTTTACATTTTTTTGTCTTGCGTAAGCAAGTGACGGTTTTTTTTATTGAGAAAGTACTAAAAATAAACAAATAAATTGTTTTGGAGCTACATTTAGAGTAATAATGGGAAAAGAACCGTTGATAGATATTTAAAAGATCCAGAGGAATCTGGAAAAAACTTTAAAGGAAAAAGGAAAGCCCAATCTGAACAATCAGTACGCAAAATTGTTAGAATTGCTTCAAATTCAAAGTCTGCAGCTAAGATTAACGAACTAGCCTTAGTAAAAGCAAGCCTTTCAACTGTTCAGCGTACAATCAGAAATGCGAAATATCTAAAGCTAAAAATCAAGAAAAAACCACCTCTGAATGAACTACGCAAAGAAAAACGGATTCAACTCGCAAAAGAATACATGACGTGGACTGTTCAATCTGGCACGCGACTTAATGATTGCCGTTCAGTGGTCTTTACTGATCAAAAACGTTTTAATTTAGATGGTCCTGATGGTTTTCAATACAATTATATTCTTATCGGTAATTTTTAAGCGCGAATGTCTTGGTACTATATAATCCACATAAGGAGGAGCATTTAGAAACTTTTTGTTTTGCTTTGGAGAATTGAATTGTTTGCTGCAGAACGTATAGCTTTTGTAATAATAGATGCTTTCTTGGTTTACATTGCCTGTGGGTAAGTTAAATTTATGATCCTACACCATCATGTCCATATCTTTTGTGAGTATACTTGTATATTAAAGGATGTAGTTCGGTACAAATATTGATTGAAATTGGGTCGTTGGTCACTGCCTTTAAGTTCGGAAAAAAGTCTTCACTCGATTCTGGGAGACTATTTGGGGGTAGAAGGGGAGGTCTACATTGGTGAAAGGTGAGTGGTTGAAAAATGTGTCGGCGCGCCATTATTAAGTAATGTCATTTTGTGGTTTATTATAATATTTTCAATTATCAAGCCTCTTGCATTTGATTTGGGAGAGCCTCAAAAAGGGTTCCAAATACTGAAGTCGCCAACCTATAAGACAGGTTTGAGAAGCAATTTATACATATACCTTAGGTAGGGTTCGTTAAAAGCTTGTTGAGGGGGAATTGTATGTATTGACTATACAAATTGAACAGCGTTTTAATTTCATCGCTATGGTTGACAGTGTTGAAGTAATATTAAAAATTTCGTCGGTATGAATGTTTTAATTAGTATACCATCTCCTTGTTTGTTGTTAGATTGTAATATGGTATGTTGTGTAGATTAAAACTATAGCCAATGTATTGTTTGGGGTATGATGTTTTTAATATTTCTTATTGGAATTTGAGTCTCTTGAATACATATGACATCAGGGTTATTTTCTTTGATAAGTAATTGCAGATATCGGTAGGCTTTTTAATTTAAATTTTGCTCGAAAACCCGTTCGTCGAACCACTTTTTTTTCTAGATTGGTATGACTGTCAGTGACATCATGTCAAATATAACATCAAAATAGTGTTTAGATCCGCTTGTCTTTCTGAAATACATAAAGTACATTCGACGATTTTTACGATGAGTGTAATTATTCAAACCAGAAGTTTCATAAAATCCTGTTTGCGAAATCAAATTTCTGGTGCCAAAACGTTCAGAATGTTGGAAAAGGCTGATAATTGTTTGTCACGAGCAAGTGGTTTTGATGGTCAGAAATTATTCAAAGAGAGTTGAGAACGCGTTGACGACGAACAATGGCCAGGACGCACATCAACGCTGGTGATCAACACTTCAACAAAATTAAGGAATTGGTGCTTGAAAATCCACGATTAGCGGTCAGAGATCTTACTGGCGTTAACGTCTGCGAAGCAATCTTTCCAACTGACAGGATGTCATGAAACGTATTATTGGCGAATAGTCTTGGATCTATGCTTACGACCCGGAAACAGACGATCAATCGGCCGAATATCGTTAAAAAGGCGAAAGAAAGCCGAAAAATCTTCGTTTTCTTCACATATCGAGGTGTGGTACACTCCGAAACTAAAACGAGCGCTCCGAGGAAACTCAATTAAAAACACTAAACCTGAATTGCTGCGCTTATTGATAGCTATTCCGAAAATTGACTTTGACAACTGTTTTGAGGATTGGAAAAAACGTTGGCACACGTGTATTGGTGTCAAAGGGGACGACATAGATTTCAAACAATAAATTAAGAATTTTTAAATTATGAACAAGGACTTACCTTTTTTTTTTTGCACAGTAGTAATACCATTCATGTAACGGAGGGGGAAGCAGAAAGTGAGAATATGTATTCATGCGTATAGTCATATACAGTCTGTCAAGTAAGAGCGTGGTCCTATTAATTTATAATAAACATTATTTAATGAAACATTCGTACTTATATATACCCTAGAAGACCCGTCCACGTTTTACTGTGGCTGATACATATGTAGGTAGTAACAACTAATATCATCTGATTTCTATTATTTAGATTATAACTATTAGTTAGGAGGTATCGCATTTTGGGTGAAGCAACTTGTGTTAGTTTACAAAAAAATTAATCAAAAAGCATTTCGTGCGTTAAGAAAGCATTGGTTTTT